ATGCATGCCTTTTGAAGTTCCTAGACATATCAACTGCTCTGAAAGAAATAGTTATAGGGCGAATTCAGCACTTATTTCTCACACTTTGTGGCCTTTTCAACCCCACTTCTACCTTCCATTCAACCCCACTTCTACCTTCTAACTACACCTTTTCATTTTTCATGGAGAAAACTCTCCATTCTCATTATTGTTCCTAAAATCCACAGTTATTATGTACTACGATATCGGACCTTGACTTACTCAAACTTCCTTTGGTGAGGATCCTACTCTTTCTTCGCTCATTAGTGAAGGTGACCAGAGCCGTGGCTCTATATATCTAATCTATGGGAGTAATATAATTGTTCCGATATTATCTTTTTATGCTTCCAATATAGTTTGAATAAGATTGACCACTTAAAATGTAGCCTTTCGTACGGTGCACAGTTTGACTAAACAGAAGTTGGTGAGTGATGAGCAGAAGAGCAATGTATGGCTTTAGCCAGAAAAATTTTCTTGCTTTTTTCTTATGAAAACTCTACTGTTCTTCGTTAAATATCAGACAACACGCGAGAACAACAACTCTGTTACTAGTTGCGGAGTTAAATTTTGATGTTAGTCATATTTGCGGGTTACAGCGATACAAAGTGGTCCACTTTGTGTTACGATTCTTATGTCTTCTAGATCAGCTCGCTCCGGATAATGTATCTCTTGAAAATAACGAGCAATGCGGTGCAATCTATAACATCTTACAATTACGAGCAAACAAGAGTGTAAAGTTTGTGTAACTTTTATGAGTAGTGAGTGATGACAGAATAGCTGCTTGTGAGTAGTAACAATGCTTTCAATCCACCGATCTCTGTAGGCAGTAGGCCTCACATTTGTCCAGTCGACATATTTGATGAATAATGTCTAAGTGTGAGTCAAAGAATAGTGTTTATTAGGTTGTCAAAAGTGCTGTCAATAAGGCTGATCACTTCTGCTTCACTCTTAACTTCTTTCGACACAACCTTAAGGACAATATATCAGCGGTTATAGTAGCAGTCTCACACCAAACAGCAGCATACAGTAGCGCACATTGCGGATGCTTCCTCGCATTTACTCTGACAGAAAAGATCGGAAGGGACTTCAACTTTGAAATTACCACTGTTAAGTATTTCTTGTGTCATCTTTGCCTACAGATTAAGCACCTTGCCTTTAACTCCTGGATGTAAAAGCGACACTTAAGTGAAGGACTCATTCAAGATCGCAAATCACTCCTAATGAAGTCTTAAATACTTCAAAAAAGTGGTGTCAAAAAAAGAACGATAATTTTTTTTGGATTTTTTTGCGACTCCACTGATCTCTACGTCTAACTGACGTTTAAAGTGGTCAAGGTGTGCCTTAAATTAGCACTTTTGAATTGGATCATTCCACAAACCATTCGCCGGTTTGCGGTAACAAGTGTCCTTGAAGATATATTGCTAGAATATATTTATATATCTCCTATATACATATAAAGCAGAAAGTCTGTATGAATGTATATGTATATGTATGTGTATTCAAAATACGAGTTTTTGTTTGTGAATCGATAAGGCTCAATATCTGCACACATACAATTTACATGCCAGTGGGTAACATAGGCTACATCATACAGTAGTTAGTCGTCTGATGGCGTTACTTTGCGAATTTTCGGCCAAGTTACGTCATTCTTAAATGTGAAGTGATTCAATCGTTATCAGACTACTTAAACAAAATCGTGTAAACACATGTAGTTTCTGAATAGAAACACGTTGAAGCGGAGCAGTTGCTCGTATGGATTAGCAATAGGAATCAGAGTTCAACGATAATAGTAAGATAAAGGCAGCCAAATCTGTGCATTAATGCTTCCATTCGCATTTGAAGAAACGTAGGAAAGTAATCAGAAAGTGCATTACTTGGCATCTGGGCATTCAGCTGCTGGATTACAAGAAGTTGGTAGGCTCGCCTACTTGAGATTGGGGAGCGGGTAGGGTAGGGGTCTCGAATAACGCTCGGAACTTCCTGCACTTCCACTTCCTCTCTACAGTTGTAGTGTGCATTAGTCATTTCTTTGGTTAAGCAATAGTTCTAACTTTTAGTGTTGCTCAATAATCTGCGTCCATACAATATAAGATTTTTAAAAGCGGTGGATGGGACGCTATATAGCAAGAACAGACGTAGGGTTAATGACAACGATAAAGGCTCACAAAAATATAAACTAAATTGCATGTTGTACCTCAGAGATTCTATTACAGCGACAGAGCCGGGTATACAGGCTACTTACTATTTTATTAGTAATTCGATGACGTTGAATAAAGACTTTGTTGCGTGAAACAAGTTCATTGTTGAAAATGTACTTATGCAATTATAATTGCTATCAAACTTACTGAACAAAATCATGCCGTAAATATGGTTTTGAGATAAAGTATTTAGTGCGGGACGGTTGTTCATTTGAACAATAAACGAGCATAGCGAAATAATAGACGTTGAGAAAAAGCAAGGTAATTTAGCAAGTTCTTTTCTTGACAGCTGAGACAAGGAATAAAACGACTTAGTAATAAGAGGGATTTAACGTGATATTATTTGCATCTCGCTGAGTTTCCAATCTCATTTCATAATATCTGGGTTCATTAATAGATGACGGGGTAGCCGGCTTTGCCAACTAGTAACCTTTGAAGTAATCGCATCAGTACTTCTCAACAATTTTAGCACTACATTTTTGGCATATTCAAAGCTTTGCTCAGTTCGTCCACTTTCTCTTTGTACTACATCATTTTGAAAGTTTTAATCTCAGATTTTGCGAATGTATTTAAAAAGTTTCTCTTCAAATGTATAGACTTGGTTAAACGCCTGTAAAAGGTTGTGACGTTGAATACGAGTGAGATATGGGCTTGTGTCCAAGAGTATCTATGTTTGAATACGATGGCTAAACTGTAGACTGAATGTTTCCATTTTTCAGATATTTGCACAAAATTCACTGAATGTTTTATTTGTTTGGAACAGCCAATATAATGGATACATTTCTTATAGCATTATTACAGCTCCCGTAACCCAACCGAGGACATCTCAGGATGACGTGAATATTGTCGGGGTTATTTAACAGACCTTGATATGCCTCTTGAAGATGCCAGAACGTTTTGAAAGATATATACATTATCCTCTTAAAAGAAAAAAAAAGAACATTTAAGTTGCAGATATGTCAAGCATCGACATGAAACCCAGGCATGCCACGCGGTTTTACTAAAGTAGTTGGAGGAGTAACTTGCGCAGATGCGCCGTTTGTTATAGAACCGCTAGGTAAAGAACCTGGTGGACCATGACCCATAATTAACTCCTGCTCTGGAGCTGGACTTTCAATGCTTCGTTCTCGCACTCCTTCCGCTACTTGAGCTTCGGTCGGTGATGGTGTTGCCGGTGGCGCCGGTGGCGCCGGTGGTGGCGTTGGTGTTGCAGGGCTTTTGATAGGGAATGGTTCCGGCGTTTGACTTCCAGCTGCTGTTGATTTAGGTCCGCCGGAAGCACTTTTTTGATAGCTACTCCCTCCCGCATAGGGGCGACTATAACCGGATACAGGTGGAGACGGAGGAGGTTTATAGGTGTTTTTTGAGTACGGTCGGCTGTAGCTTGAAGGAGGAGGAGGAGGAGGAGGAGGAGGTGGAGGTGGTGGTGGTGGTGGTGGTGG